CCCCAAAACCCCAAAACCCCAAAACCCCGTTCGTTTAAAAAATCATGCTTTTAAAAAAAAATATAATTAAAAATAAAACATAACTCATTTTATATCAAAATAATCTAAAAGTCTCATTAAAAAGGTCTAAAATATCTAAACTGCAAATGCCTATCAACCTTTACATGGCTTGCAATTTAAAATCTATCATTCAGCTACTATTCGATAGGATAAGCTGAGTCGTCATGAGAGAATTCACTGATATCTAAAATATCATCTTAAGTTTCACGTTCAATTTTATCAATTAGCGGGCTTTGAAGATTATTGATGTAATTGTTATTGTTACTTTTGATTTAGTGATCTGGTTCATTTTGACTAAATTGATAATTGAATTAACTTTAAATCTGCTAAATTCTTTTTACTTTTTTAGTCTTTTATTTTATTAGTTTTTCTATTTTTTGGCTCTATAGCAATTTATTTTTGAGATTTTTCAGTGCCGGAGTTACCTAAGTTAGTGCCGAACTTTTATTGAAATTCAAAATATTGATGTTTTCAGAATTTTTATTTATTGGCCTCCTTAATACATTAGTTCTAACTAGCATAAATTCTATACTTTTAGTATTATTGACTGATACAGACTAATCTTATTTTTTTAGTAGATCCTGGATAGAATCACCTTTAACATTGTTTGATCTATATGAATCATTGCTTTTCTTGCTGATTTTCCCATCTAAATAACATCATTAATTTCTTAAAGTACATTACTTGAACTAGTATTTTCCTTTTTATTTCTATAACGCATTTATGAACTTTGAAATGATCTAATATTGCTATTCCTCACGAATTTTGAAATAAAGTGATGCTATAGAAATGGTGAAAGAATGGCTATACTTACCTTTAAACATTAGCCAGCAGTGGGTCTTTTGCTTTAATCTCTCTCAAGCATCATATTTAAAATTTCTAAGCAACCGCTACTTAAATTTGAATTTTATCTTTTCAAACATTATTATGGGTTTAGATGTCTGTTATTAAATAGAATTCTTTCAACTGTTTGACCTTAGAATATGTGATTTTGAGTCAGCAAGTTATAAAATAAGCAGCCAAGACTGAATATATCACTTTTTGTTGAAAATTGCTCACCTCCTAATACTGCGGGGTCAACATAGCCTGGCGTTCCACATTTTATTTTATTATTGGTATTATCATTTTCTTTTATTGCTAGACCAAAATCTGAGAGACAGATTATCATTCGACTTTGATCTTTAAGTAGAATATTATCAGGCTTTAAGTCCCTATGAATAATTCCTTTCTGATGCATGAAGTGAGTTATTTCTAGAAGCTATTTTAAGATTTTAATGCAATCTTTCTCATCGAGTTGATAATCCAGAAATGCATAATTATATAGAGACCCGTACTTTGCATATTCTAGAATTATGTGATAGTCTGATTATACTTAGTACACTCTTTTCAATTTAATGACTCCTGGACAAGTTTTCAGCTGTCTTAATATGCTTATCTCTTTCATCATAACGATTCTATCTTCATCAGTCAAGTTGAGATAGGATTTAATTGCATAAAGCTTTTTATTTTGTCTATTTTTATATAAACTAACTTCTGCCTGGGTTCCTCGCCCTAAAAATTACTTAAATTTATAATGATCCTTGATTTCACAGCCATATATTATAGAATATTTTTAAAAGTACTGTGACATAATTCTTTATTCTGAGGAATTATTAAAGGTTAGACATATTTTTTCTTGTTCTTAATTAATTTACCAAATCAAAGCTTAATTAGCTTACTCATTAGCATTCTTTTATGACATAATTTACGCCTTCACATTTGATAATTCTAGATAGTAATAAAGTCTATTATTTTCCTATAATCTCTGAGCCTTGATCACTAAATACTCACATACGCAAGCTATTCCATATTTATGGTTGGCTTGATTGAATATTGATTTTTGGGAATTCTTGATGTTTGAAATTATTTGCAATTAAACTTGATAAAAATCTTCCTGCTCTATATCAATATTCTACTTCTTTATCTATAGAGGGATTGAGGTTGATAAATAACTCATAAAATTTAAATTTAAGAATGAATAATTAAATACAGTATCAATTTTTTCCCTAATTTAACTAATACGACAAAATAGTTTATTATCTAACTCACGGGGTTTTGGGGTTTTGGGGTTTTGGGGTTTGATTCAAATTTATTTGCTAG